GTGAAATACTGAATCCCTTTGACCCATAACTTTCCCCTCACTTCACAGAGGGAAGAGGAGATAGCTGTTCTAGCAGGGAACATTTTAAAGAAATGAGCTATCATTCCAAAAACATGGCAATGCCTCTGAAAAGACAGCTCATGAGAGCAGAGATCCTGCTCTGGTAGAGAAGGAGGAGCAGGTTCAAGAACATTCTTAGGCTCCTGTTCTTTAATGCTCTGCTGGACTATCTGAACTGCTGGCAGTGTCAGAGGGCTAGAGAAGATCCCAGAACTGGAATACAGACCTTGAAAATAGATTTTTCAGCTAACTGGACCGGCACAACATTAAAAGTCTTCGATGTTACTACCTATCAATGCCCTACAAATGTACCTTGATGAAAAAAAAATTACTTCCTCTTTCACTTCTCTTACCCCCAAGCCTCAATATCTCAAACATCTGAAGAAGTGACTTTACTGTGCAACCTGCAGCTAATGCTTCGCAGATAATGACTACAAGAATGCACAGATGTAACTTACTAGACTCCTGTCTGTTACTGTGGCTCAGCAGACAGAAGGCACCTTGTCACTTTCCACCTTCTAGCCACATTTTTCCAGTCCACTCCAGCAGACCAAGTTCAACCAAGCTGTAACCATCAGCAGTCTCCTGAATAGAAAAAAAGCTTTCCAAGCTCAAGAACACAGGATTTCCTGAACCATATCAGAGCAGGCACTCATCAAGACAATAACCAAAAGCATTTTAAACAATAACAGAAAACCACTCCAACACAGGAATCTATTACTACTATTATTATTATTATTTAGGTATGCAATAGCTTTTCCAGACAGTTTCTTTCTAGCCTCAGATGCATGCATTTCCTCATAGTAAGATGGTTCATGACCTCTATACAAACCTTCTCTGCAAAAAGCTTACTGATGGTCCAAGCAGAGGAACAGGCACTTCAGGCCTCGTAATGGAGCTGGGAGATCTCTAAAGCATAAAGGTGCTTTATGCAATATGATACTTATTCAACTAACAACTGAACATTTGTAGCATGTCTACAAGAAAATTGAACAGATTTTAGCTGCCAAGTTCTGTGACAAAACCAATCCTTTCAAATTTATCTAATCCTACTGTTTCCTAGGAAAACATGGGCAAGGGGTGCAGACAACAACTGACTTCAGTACCTGTATTACTGAGACCGTACTTTGGCCTCACCATTCTTTCTTGCAAATAGACATCAGCACCCCTACAGAGGTCACATACATTTGAACAGGGCAGAGCAAGCCTTTGGGACACAAAATAAAGAATGACTTTACGGCTAGCCCTTGTCAATGACTTCTTAAAAACGGGATGTTAGAGCCCATGCAGCCTGACCTTGGGAAGGAAGGGCAGAGAAAGTTGTTTTAAGTGAACTGGGGCATATAAGCAGAATGAAATAGGTAACCAAAGAAAGCAAGAAAAGGAGACAAAGATAAAGGTAGAACAAAATCTGAGAAGCCCAGGAAGGCAGGCAGACATAAGCCAACAGAAAAAGAAAGACCCTACAGGAAAGTAACAAGAGAAAACTCTGGGTTAGCTAAGCAAGCTAGAACCAACATCAAGCCCAGAAGGGAAGACCACACACAGTCTGAAAAGCTTAAGTATAAGACAAACTAGATGAAGAAGGAAGATGAAAAGAAAGGCTCTTGAAAGTCAAGGTGCAAGCACAAAAAGACACAATGAAATGAATTACATGCAAAAGCCTCAGCCCCTTAGTGTGTTGGCATTTGGACATGGGACTCCAGACTTCAGCTCATTGCTTATTATTCGTCCGGTTGTTTTTACAGAACAGATTCCTCACCTGCAGGCTTTCAGTGAGCTGCACAGGTTGATAGAGGTAATGCTATACATTAGCCCCAGCATGTACTGTAAATGGACCTATGTACACTTCACATTGCTGGAGCAGACTAACTGCACCCTTCCTTCTTTCAAGGAAGGAACAAAAAATTACAACAACAGTAAGGGGGCAAAACTAATTTTCTAGGTTCCCATTTGTCAAATATTTTGTAAAATATCAATCTATTTCAGATGTGCTTTTAACAACAATACAGCCATAAGAAAAAAAATGTTCACTTGATAGGACCTTTCTCCTTCCCAATTACCTTCATAATGAGAAGGAAAGCTATCTAGCTACCTTACAATTTTTTTTTCTCTCAGCAGAATGGGATTAAGTATTTTCCCTTTACTCAGCTGTGTTATGGAAGTTCAACATGCGAATGACACGCAAACTTATCATGAATATAAAAAAATATCTTGTAGAGTGACAATGTCACTGAACAACACAAAATATTTTCAACTGCTTAATACCCTCAAAGTAGAAACACATTGAACTAGCTGCTTAGGTGGCACTTTTCTTCAAAATTATGGTGTACCCATCATTCAGGTTCTCAACTTATGCATTTTTAATCACACTGTTTATTTCATTATCCATGTAAAGTGTGATGAGGAGAGGGAAGTTAGACTACTCTCCCTTGGTCCCACTTTCCATGGCAACAGATTCTATTAGAGTATTTAAAGATTTAAATTACTAGTTTCAAATCTTCCTGCTATTATCTTTAACAGACAAGCCAAAAGAGTGAAGTATACATCAGTACCTTGAAATTCAGGAAAATCTTAATTTGACATATTTAACATATCTTATGAATCATCCCTTTTTACATGACACTACGGTTTAAGATTCAGCTCGCCTTAGGGAAACTGAAAGATTTCTCTATTTTCACATGCTCAAAGAGCACTCTCGTTTTCATACTACCTAACCCATGTTTCAGGTGGACTTTTCCAAATGGATAAAATGCACTTTTAGACTACAAACTCTGAAAGCCTGGAAACAGTCAAACAGCAACTACTGGCTCAGACACACCAAAGTGTCTATTCCATTCTACCTAAGAGACTTGGCTTGCTTAGCAAATAGAGACGTGGCAAGTGCTAGTGGAAAAAAGTTATTCTCCTTTTCCACTAGCTTTGGTATAGGACGAAGCATCACTTTGGTTTTAATTACCAAAACAATAACTAACGCATTTAAAGAAACAACCTCCATACGCAGTTAGTGCTCAAGTACCAATGCCAGCTGGAGAAATAGGGAATAAGCATTTACAGTGCAAAATGCAGTAGGGAGATTTGACCAATTACAGCTGTAAAGTGCAGACATTGAACCTACATTACTACTTCTGCCCTTCAATTAGGAAATACAAATGGATTTAACTTGCAACATTCCTCAATGGTACAGTTTGATAGTCTGAGGATGCAAATGCGAATTCACATTCTTATGAGCAAAAGCTGGATTGTTACAACACAAGTTATAACCGACAGATTTCTGGTATTTAAGGGTACTGTTGTTGTTTCAGCACCTGCATCAGCTATCCTTCCTAACTGTGAAATGCTAGAAAGTCAACAGGCCCTAAACACTTCTACTGGTGCCCTATAGTCTGAGCTTTAGGAGAACATTCTCCCCATAACCCAAAGAAATAAAACAAACAAACAAAAAATAATAAAAAGAATTACACCTCTGAAAAAGTAACTGCACCATTTCTCTCACACCAGACAGTTTACATGAATACTGTTATATCTAAGCATAAAATGCTATTTGTTTCAAAATGGGAAACAAGAGGTTGCTGAAGGGAAGTGACTCAAAGAATCAACCTGCTTTAGCTGGGCCATTCCACAAAATAGGTCCCTTTTTTCCAAGGCTGCAAAGCACAAAAAGGCAACCCACAGCAGATTTTCATAGCAAGTTAAACACATGAAGAATTGTCATGCCAATTGAGTCCGGCTGAACTACTACAGACTTAGTCACACATTCACAAGCTGAAAAGGAGCGGTAAGATTCCTTAAAAGCCCATATATACTACTGCCCACTACTACAGCAACAAACAAAAGACGAAAGGTTGTGCCTCCCCTCTTCCTAGAACTAGAAAAAAACACTACAAAAAGCCCAGACAAAGCACTTGCATGCCTTTAGTAAGCAACATCATGACCGCTGATAACGAGTATGTTTCCGCAGTTTCTCACAAGATCTCCTTGTTTAAAGTCTGGAGCTCGAAAACAATTTTCTTATCACCAAAGTAATACAACAGATGACATCATATCACACTCCCTTAACTCAAAGGTAGTAACTTCAAATACAGTTAGTAGCCTTACAAATACATTCACTTTTGCAATACAACTTTAAACATTGGTTTAAAGTAGACTGATTAAGCAGGTGCACACCACTAATCAACTTCTGCATGTTTCTGAACACTTTAGAGAATAAACAGTAATTACAGCATCATAGAAACGATCCAAGATGACTCCTTTGATAGCTGTTCAAACCAGTCCTAAAAATACAGCATGGAAATTTAATTCCAGCTGGATATATTTGAGCCAACTTGTTTCCAGTTCAGCCGTAAGCAACAAAAAGAAAAAACCAAACCAAACATGCATGTATGCAGAAGCATAAGCATATGGGGCCTAATGTAAATCTAATCAAAGGAACACAGAAACCATAAAATACAAGCATTAAGGTAACGTTATATTACATAAACTGAGAGAAAATAGCAGTTCATGCATTCATATAATAAAGGGTACAAGTATAATCAAACTACTCCCTTTTTCTATGCCTTTAATATTAAAATCCACTGCATTTATTCATGGTTCAGTGACATCAGTACATCTAAAGAGATTTTTCTGCACTGCTCTACAGCTAAAGATATGCAAAGGTAGCTACCATGAACTACAAACAGAACCATATAGTCTCAAAATCTGCAAACATCATGGCGCACAAAGCACAGAGTATTAGTTTCTTCCATCCTTAAACTTAAGCATTTGGAACACCAAGCTTTCTGAAGTTCTATCTCCCTCTAAACACAGCCTGTCTTCTGAGAAGTACAAGACCACAGGTATCTGAAACTACTCAAGTAATTTTAAAACACTTTAGAATCTAGTTTTTCATCAAATGCACAGAAAAAATTACGAACTCTGAATTACTGAAGATAAGTGCTTACCTTCAATCCTTTTTAAGGCCGACAGACAAGTATCCCGGCTTGGGAATTCAAATGGATTATTACAGGTCCGAATGGTGTCACATTCGCATTTCCCGTTGATTATGTTACAACCTGTTATAAGGTTTTCATTGCACGGCTCAAATCCAAGAAGCTGATCATCATCCCAGTTTTCATCTAAAATAAACAAACAAACTCGCTCACTATTGGATTTCAGCTGCAGTATATAAATCCAGCTGCTTTGGACTTGTGTGCAATTCACTTCAAGTTCAACACAGCGCTAAACAGAAGATAACAGATTAAAAAAATAATGGATTAACCTAAACCATGGGATTTGTCAAATACCATGTTTCACAGCTGTTCTATTGCCCATTTTGCTACAGCAACTGGCATTGTTTACTTCCATCTGTGTGAAAAACCATGTCATCTCAGGGAAATGCATAGCTGTAGTACAAATGAGTGCTATTCTAACAGAAATAACTTTTGCAGATACTAGAAGTTATATTTGTATGGAAGTGAGAACACTGGACACAATCTGCAGCTGTTACAGAAGTCAAATTTGAGTCAGAAACAGAACATTTAAAAAGACAATTAAAAAATACATCACACAGAAGTCACTCCACAGAGATAACTTTTTATTACAAAAATGCTGCAAGGTGCCAAGCCTCTGATTCTGTTATATGACCAAAAGTGAGTTTTGCAGTAGTCTTGGATTTTAATAGATACTTTAGGAGAATTGATCAAGCACATCTCACTCCTCGCTGTCAAGGGGCTGGGGATAGTTGGGCCAGAGTAAGTCTCTCTGCTCAAATAACTCTGTTCCTTTTGAATCAGCCCTGTCACATGTGTGTAACTGGTGCTCCCACTGTATAACTGTACTACTCCCACTGCCCATTTTCCTTTTAGGAGGCTACATGCAACAAACTTTTATTCCCCACCCACCCCTAGAAAGAGATATAAATCCACTTGATCCAGAATTTCAGCAAGATTACCAGCCCTACAAAAATCTCTGTTTCCTTAGGTCAAGGGCACATACAGCAACATCCCACCAACACAAGTTTAATTAAGACAGAATCACAGAATGGCCTGGATTGGAAAGGACATTAAAGATCATCTAGTTCCACTCCCCCTGTCATGGGCAGGGACACCTTCCACTAGACCAGGCTGCTCAATGCCCCATCCAACCTGACCTGGCATACTTCCAGGAATGGGACAGCCCTCTCCAACTTCTCTGGGTAACCTGTTCCAGTGCCTCACCACCCTCACAGTAGACAATTTCTTCCTAAAATCTAATCTAAACTTACTCTCAGTTTAAAACCATTCCCCCTTGTCCTGTCACATGCTTTTTATGTAAGATTAAAGAAACTAAACTAGGCATTAGATATTCTTAGCTATATACTTCCAGGAATGGGACAGCCCTCTCCAACTTCTCTGGGTAACCTGTTCCAGTGCCTCACCACCCTCACAGTAGACAATTTCTTCCTAAAATCTAATCTAAACTTACTCTCAGTTTAAAACCATTCCCCCTTGTCCTGTCACATGCTTTTTATGTAAGATTAAAGAAACTAAACTAGGCATTAGATATTCTTAGCTATAGAGCACCAGATCGTTTTCCAAACTTCCCTGTCTAAAAACAAGTACTACAAAATAGTCACACAGAGTTCACTGACTTCTAGTAATGACAAAAGGAACAAACAGGTATTATCAATCAAACATTCAACAGCAGTACTCACACTGTGCATTCTAAGTAATTCACCCCAATCTTACATACTATCAACAAGCAGATTTCCAATACAGGTCCTGCCAAGAAACACTTCAAAAAAGTTTGAACATCTTCCAGTTATGAAGGGTAGGATTTTTGTTGCTGTTGGGGTTATCAGAAGCTGTCCTCCACAGCCAAAACCAAACTGTTTGTCATTCAGCAGTCTGATGCTCAATAGATGTCTAGAAACAAATAACACACACACACACACATAGATATTGACATGTAAGTACTGGCCACTCACAGAAACAAGCAGAAAATCTGCTAACCTGAAGTTTTTCTTGTTTCGGGGAAAATAAAAACCTACCACCTAGAAAGAACTGTTTACCAGTTCAGTACTGTACATGATCTACAGGAAGTGTCACAGCAGATTCTCAGATATATTTCTCCCTGAGCAACCAACTGCTTGCTTTCTATTATGAGCTGGCAAAGTACCCTGCTGACAAAAAGCACAGAAAAATGACAAAGCCAATTTTAGATACGAAGATGGGAACCTCCATGGGAATCTCATGGCTCTTCTACTCCATAAAAATGGCAAAGGAAGAGTAGTCATTAACCCCGGGAAGTAATCTCTTTTTTTTGGCTAACATTGGCTTATCATCCCATACAGCAACTCTGCCAATGAAAGTCAAAGGAAGTGCAGAAGTTCCTGAAGAGAAACTATTAAAATTCTTTCAAAAGAAGATGCACCTTCAGTAATGCCTGGAACACTTTCATTGTGAGAAGGTCATGCATACAGAGGGGAAAAAAAAAAATCCTGAAAATTTGGAGAACAATAATACATCCTGTTTTTGAGAAGCCGGAATACAGCCAGGACAATTTGTATTTTCGAAATCACAGCAGTAATCCACATAATGACAAGAACAAAAGCTACACCTACAGTCTTCGAACTCCGTAACTGCAGGGGCCAGAGCCTCATCCAAATCAGTCTCAGCCTTAAAAGAAGGGGTTTGAGCTGCTCCCTGTTTCTGACACACGGGCTCTCCTCCCATACCCCTGGGTGCAGGACAGGAGCCCAGCCTGCCCTGATGGCTGCAGCACCAGCATGTGTGCCCTTGTCCCTGCACCCCCAAGCCTCCCAGGCCAGTGCAGTGCAGACAGGTGGGGCACACAGATGGCAATGTGCTGTTGCTTTTCCAGCAAGACAGTTCAGAGCATTTGTGCTGCTTTGCCCTGTGGTATTTCGGCACTAAATCTTCTCTAGGCTGGCGGATCTGCAGGATCCCTGTCACACAAGAGCTGCTCACCCCACATAAGGTGGGACCCACCTGGCACAGAAAGCAGAGCTGCCCCTTATCCATGGCAGAACACCTCGATGCAGACACACTGAACACTGTGGTGCTGCTTGCTCCAATTTCCAGGACAAATCTGTGGTGGATACCACACCTTGCACTTCCCATGACTTTCCAGAAAAGGCAATACACAGCAAGTATACAGGCCAATACTAGGTGCACCCAAAGTCTTCAATGCCACACACCTCAAAGATTAGCTCAGTAGCCATTAAGAGTATGGAAGAGAAATCCTTCAGTAATACTTGCAGACTATACTTCTAACATGTTGAACTTTGAAACATGGTGTTTTTTATTACTAGGTGTGAATACAAAAAAAGTCACATTCAGACAAAGAATGAAAATCCAGTTTTAGCATGTACATCTTCTAGCAGCCTGCTTTTCACACAAGTTCATTTAGAAACAAAATTTCCATTAATGAAGGAGCAAACATATAACAAGAGCTTATTTTAGTTTCAGAAATCAAGGCAAAGTCTAGCATGATTTTTCAAGCAGACTTAAGGCTCCTTTTCCTACTTGATTTTGTCCTTTTATGAATAGAATGTCAAGGTCCTATTAAATGAATAATTGTTTACCACTTAGAATAAACCCTCAGAAGTCACATCAATACAGAAGAACAAAATTCCTTGGAATGAAAAGTACAGCCATATGAAAGCCCTCACATGAGCTAAAGGGATGAATCCAGTGTCCCACTTCACTTTCAGAGATTTGGTTACTTGTTGCAAAGGCATCTAGTGCTCTCCTTGATGGAGATAACTGAGGGTCCAGTACAGCATGCTCGCCCCTTCAGAGGGAAGCAACATTTCAACTGACAACGGAACCATGTCTTGAACAAAGCATATCACCTAGCCTCTATTATTCCCCAAAATCATCATGTCCTGTGGACTACTCCAAAAAACCAAAAACTTGTGATTTGGGACCCGAGACTATTCCAGTCCGTAGCACAAACATTTTCCTGCATGTTCTATTTGATCTCCTCAATAGCTTCCTTTTCAGGAGACTGATCTTTCATGCCCACCTCCCAGAAATCTGGATGATATGAAGGAACAGACAGATATAATAATTTGTGAAAGCTTTAATTCTCTACAAGCCAGGCTGACAAAACCCAAATGTAAGAATCTGAGCCTCTCAAATCTCATTATTGCACATCCTATCCTCTAGCTGACTTCTAAGACACCTAAAAATACAAAAAATCAAATAGGTGTTTAACATGCTTTAGTTTTTACAAGCAATCTAGCTGAAAATAAGCCCAGGTAAACTGTTAGTTTTCATGCAAACTCATTGTTGTTTAGCCATTTTGTTTCTAAATGAACTTGTGTGAAAAGCAGGCTGGTAGAAGATGTACATGCTAAACCTCCTTGTGCTGGTATGATCAGGTGGGGTAAAAAAAGGGAAGAGCCACACCTTTTAGCAGTCCTGAGTTGTCATTAGACCCTTGTTATAGAGTCACTCTAGTACTTTTTGCACATATACCTTGAAGCAGTTCAAATACTCCCTAGCATGCTAGTAACTACAGCTTCAAAGTCATTTCTTATTCAAGTTATTTCTACATACCTGCAGTTCCCC